TTACTTTAAAAGATGATCCGTGCTAATAATTTTACATTCTATACTTGTAAATTTATTAATTTATATTTATAATTTTATAAATACATGCTTTTAAATTTTTAGATCTATATATACTTATAATTTTATAAGTATATGCTTGTAAATTTAGAGATTCATACTTGTAATTTTATACATATAAACTTATAAATATACAGATCTATACTTACAATTTTATAGATATATGTTTGAAAATTTACAAATTTTGTAATCCTCCAAAATTTTTGGGATATTTATAAAAAAAAGGGGACTAAATTGAATAGAGTTAGGGGATGAGGGATTAAATCCAACAAAATCAAAAGGCCGAGGGCTAATTTGAAATAAAACAGGAAATTTCAGATTTTGTATATCCAGGCGGGTCCCGTAACCGGGTCAATCAAAAATTCGACTGAATCAAAGTAGATTTGATTTGAAATCTTTGAGTCTCTATGTGCAACTGTAAAGGAAGCAAAACCCTAAAATTATTTGAGAAAATATTGGCTAAAATTATCAATTTGAAGCAAGAATCTCTTTCATAACATTACAAGTGCACGACGCAAGAAATTCCTAGATTTCCTCCTTCCCTCAGCCACTTGACAACTATTGTTCGGCTGTTACCAATCACTGGGTCTCGTCGATTACGGCCATTGGAGTAATTCAAGATTATCCATATGATACTTGTTGAGCCGTGTTGCTAGATACTTGGACTTATCGATTTCCATCATTTAATGAGTAATAATGTGTATTTTTGAGCTTATCTATTTTTCATATATGTAATAAACCTGGTTTTATATTATATATCTATTCTTTTTGAAAATTTTGATTTAATTTCTGTTAAAGTGTATAACAAGGGACATGCATGTAATTTCTAAATTTGTTTTGGAAACCTATTTGTTATTTACATTTGATTCAGTTTATATCAGTAAATGGAAAGATTTTGTTTAACTATTATGATATTTTCTAAAAAATAATATTTTGAGAGAGTTTCGAATTTTATAGCACTACAACTAACAGTAATATGCATTAGGCTGATTTGCACCCTGTACGGTCCCCATCTAGCAAGGGTGATGGTGTTAGCCCTTCTGGTTTCTATCTATCATCATTAGACTGATCTGCACCCTATGCAGGTCCCCATCTAGTAGGGGTGATGGTGCTAGATTTTCAAATTTTTGTTTATTGGTATGGCTGATATGTTGCTGTTCTGTTATCTGGCATGACTGATATGTTGCCGTCCTATTATTCGGGCAAACTGATATATTACCATCTTGTTATCCGAGTAGACTGATATGTTGCCATACTCTATTATCTGGACAGACTGATATGTTGTCATCCTGTTTACCGGCTAACTATGCATCGCCATTTTATTTTTCGATATATGTTATGTTCTAGATACGAGCTCCCTAAATTATGAAAATGTTTTGGTTTAAAATTCTTTTTTTCAATAAATTACATGTTATACCAGTATGTAGACTCGCTCTTATTTTTTCTAGATTTTGAATATGTTGGTTCGACGGATCCTGTTATCTGAGAGGAATTTGTATCGGCAGCTGTTTCTGTCTGGATTTTATTTTCAGAGTTATTCAGTTTGTTTTAGACTTTGTATTCATGGGATTTTAGTATACTCCATTTGAATATAAACAAATTTTATGTGTTTTACATTGAAAATTCAATTATTATGGCTTGGTTTACATTTTAGTTTATATTAGATTTTTAGTTCAGTTGAATTCCGTACTTTTTGTTTGGCTTACAAGCTTGGAATTCATCCTCACCCTTATGCTGGTCATGTATGCAATTTCAGGTCATGACAAATTTACACTTGTAAATTTATAGAATCATACTTGTAAATTTATAGATTGCTTGTTAGTCTGATACAGACATTCATTAATTGCTCAACAAGAATAGGAGACGATGAGAAGTAAAAAATGGGCAATAAACTCGAATATATATATATAATACACACATATATAAATACATATATATATATATAATACACACATATATAAATACATGATACAAACTCGAAGACAAAATCGAAAGCAATTGTCTTTTGCATCGGCAAGAGGGAAAATGATAGAACAAACACTAATGTCGAACCCTTTGTTATAATGTTATGTCCAACCGTTTGTTGTTTTACAATATAGACTGTTATTTACTCAACATCGAAGCAAATGACAGACGTTGACCTCTTTGTGCATGAGAATAATCTATGTCGAAGCAAAAATCAATGCCAAACAAGAAGAAACTACATCGAAGTAAAGATCAATGGCAAACGATAATGAGCATTCATCAAACAGTAAATATTAAACCTTTGCGTATTAGAATAATATTTGCATACCAAAGAAGTTTCAGAAAACTCATATTTAGGTGGGAAAATGTATTTATAAAAACCAACAGTTGGACAAAAAGAATTTGTTTTAAATTCTCCTGTCATTAATATTCAAAAAAGTCGTCTGTCAATATTTTTAATAAGCCGTCTCACCAATTTTTAATGCCACGTCTGTGATGTCACTCCTTAACGCAACATGTCATCAAATTGAGTGACTAAAGATTTTGCAAATTAGTGTTCGGATTTCTTTTCATTTTAAAATGGCCATTAATAACCAACTATAATTAGTGCTAATTAAGCATGGATTATTTTATATAATAAAGTTTAGTTGTATTATTCACAATAATGGATGAGATAAAATATTGTAAATGAAGGAAACAAACAACGATTACATGTTGGATGAAGGAAAAAAAAGAGAATTATATGTTTCCATAAAATAATATTGGAACGGCTTCTTGTAAATGAACGTATTTCGGTAGAAAGGACAGGGAAGAATGAGTTTATTAACAAGTTTATGGACAAAATAAGGCATATTTGCTGAGATGAGCCTTTAGAATGTTACTGTTACTTTCGTGTAATTGAAATTCGTATTATATTTTGTGGGTGGAATTTGGTTGTCTAAAGAGGAATTCTTTGCATTTACCTTTTTTTAATTTGTAATTAATTTTTGGTTCTTTATTAACAAAGTATTTCTGGGATTTGTAATATGACGAGCAATGTTTTAAAAACCGGACTAGACTGACCGATTCAATTGGTTCAACCGAGAACCGGCAGGCTCTCTGGTCCGGTTGGATGAAAAAAACCAGTTGCACTTTGAACTGGTGAGAACTATGCAAAAACCAGAAAAACCGGTTCAACCGGTTCTCTCTCTCTCTCTCTCGTTTTTAAGTGAAGACCCATGGACGGGATCTAGAATTCACTTGCTCCATGGCCCATGATCTAGAATTGAATGTTCTTTCTTTCATTTTATTTATCTTTTCTTTTCGGAAAGGCATGGCGGGAATTTTGGAGAAGTCGTTTGCAAATTTAAAGTTACTTTCAATAACGTTTATGATTCTAAATTATATTTTTAAATTTAAAAATTATTTTTTAAGGACAGTAAAAATAAAAAAAAAACCTTGTCTGTAATGAAGATAATGAGAACGATGATTTTTTCTTTTTAAAAAAATAGGTTTTCTTCCCATAAATTAAAATTTTTTAAATTTGTAAATAATTTATCAACTATATTTTAATTTTTTTTACAAAATCTTTAAAAGCACACAAAAATATTTTCATTGCCAAATAAACCCCTGGTTGAATGTTTAGTTTTTCCTATAAAAAAAAAGTATAAAACTCACAAGTCAATTTATTTGACATATAAAAGAGCCGACTAATTAATAAATAAAATAGTTGATAAAAAAAATTCAAGGTCTCTCCCCCCCCCCTCTCTCTCTTTCTCTCAAAAATAGCAATTATATTTTAGACAAAAAAATGCTAGAAAAGAGTTGAGAAATGCATAAAATATTTGATTATTTTAAAAAATAAATGTAAAAATAAAAATTAAATTTAACAAATTATTAAATTTTAAATTTTTTTATTCTTATTTTTTATTTTTTACATTATTTATAATAACATATAAATATATATTTAGATTAAATATATTTATGATGTCATACCGGTTGAACTAGTGATTCGACCTGTAACTAGTAAGGCCATCAATTCTTTCACCAGTCCGGTTTTTAAAACATTGACGACGAGTATGGAACATATATCAATATACCCATCTCTGTCTTTGTTTAAGAAATTCGTTCCATTATTCAGTTGAATATTAATTTTGATCTCTATTTTTTTTCTATTGTATCATATTATATCTGTCCCTGTACCCAGAAGCCTATTTAAATACAATTCATTATTTTTATGAAAAGAAGATGCACAAAAATCTATCTAATTAACAGGGATGTGATCTCTGGAAGCGGATCAAGGATAATAAGACAAAAGCAAGCACTGGGACTCGACTTGTTTTGCTTAGAGTTTTGGATCTTGTGTTGGGGACCTCTTTTCTAACTGAATGATTGTAGACTAACCCGAGTGAGATTTATCGAGCAAATGAGAGGAAGAGGAAAGAGGCTGGAGGAGGACTGGGTCTGCTAACTCAAATGGAAGTTAGACAGAGAGACAGAATCGAAGCCCAGGGAGGCTGAGAAATCGAAAGAGAAGAGATAGCAAGCAAAGGGTAAGGAGGTTAGGGTTTTAGTAATGAGTGGTATGGGTAAAATTTTAAGTATTAATATCTTTTTTGAATATATAAATATATATAATATAATATATCAAGTATAAGACCAGTTGAATACTATCATCTGTCTCCATACCTGAAAATTTTTAATTAAATATTAATTAAATTGAGTCAAGAACCGATTTAAAAACTTGCAGTTCCAACATGGTTATATTACAATGTACAATCATGACAAACTCATAAACCTTCTCCTTCATAGATGCGTATATATTACAGAGCATTAATATTTAACAAGCACTCACTATTATACATGCAGATCGCAATTAACATAAAAGGACTCACGTTTTCTACCAGATGTATTTATTTCCTTAGGTCCTGTCAAAACGCCATACTGAAGCTTTTGCAACACGTGGGGATTTGTGGGTAACACCATAGTTGTCCCCTAGTTTATGCCTTGAGAAGGTGCTGGTCGATGTCCTTGGTCATACTAACTACAAGGTCCATGTATTTGTCTGGATCAGGGGCATTCTCATTTGTCTTCTCATATTCAATAGTCCACTTCACTAAGGCTCCCTTGTCCTCCTTTCCGGTAACTTGAAGGAAAGCTTTGAGGGACTTGTAGTTCTGCAACATATCGCCATCCAAAACGTTGAAGGTAATCGACTTGTTTTCGTCATCTATGGCCTCAACCGTTTCCCTGGAAGTCTCCGACTTCCCATCTAGTGTTTATTTCACAAATATTTCAATTTAATATGCATAAATTGTAATGTAATGTATAATTGTCTATAATTAACAAAAATAACTTACATGTTAAATATAATGACCTATGAATTACTAACTTTTGAAATATGTTACACTAAAATCACTGTTTTAAAATGTTTAAATTCAAATTTTTTAATAATAATTTTTATTTTTTTTATATATTATATCATATTATTTTTATAAATTAATATAAGACTGAATATCATATTTAACTAGTCAAAGAGTTATTTTATCAGAAAATCATTTTTTATATATATAACATAAAATAGAATAAGTAGTAAGAGAAATAAAATATATATGGATTATACCTTTTATACTTACTTTAAATTTATTACATTTATTTTTTTAAACGAGGAAGTCTATTCTATAGTTGAGATGGACTGGTCAATTTTTATTTTTTTAATCAAGTTTTGATTCCAAGTTCGAGCCCTTGGGCTTGCAAGCTCAACCGACCGGTCCATGAATGGTTCAATGATTTGAACAACCCAACTCATGGCAGTTCGCATGCACGTTGGATTTCACAAGAGAACTTTTCAGCATCTCTTGTCAATAATTGGTTCAGTCAATTGAACTAGCTAGATAGGACATTTTTGCCTGGCTATAATATATTTGTGGTAAGGACCGTACAAATTTAATTTTTTTTCTCGTGTTTACCTTTTTCTAAAATATTTATCATATTTTATCTATATTAATGCATGAAAATTAAAATTTAGGAGTGTGATAAGAGGTATTGGATCTTCATAGTTTTTGTCATAGTTGAAAGGAATCATAATCCACTAAAAAGATATAGCATATTAAATGATGGTGGTTGGTCTAATTCCCTCGAGTCAGTGAAGGAAGACCTTTTTCCATATACAAAATTGAAAGTGAGAATTTTGTAGGATCTTGCATATCCAAGTTCAATATTCAGGTATAAGTCTCCTTTCCTGACATAAAAATAAATAAATAATAACAAAATGTTAGGTTTAGGTTGTTTCCATTTTCTACCCCCAGAAATTAACATGCCTCTTTTCACGGCTCAAAATTGTTGAGTTATATAGTTTACAAAGATTATTTTGCTTAGATATTATTTGTAATAATACAAGAGTTACTAATTCTTAAATATTATTTGTAATAATACAAGAATTACTAATTCTAATAATTTGTTAAACCTGAATCACTAGGTATAAGTACGGAAGTTCTAGTTGTTTAATAGTAATCTCTAATCACTTATATATTATATGATATTATTAGCAAAAATCGATATAAAAATGAGATATTACATCTCTATTTTGAATTAATAATTTTTTTTACAAAGATTCAGCTTATTTATAAAATATAATTGAGCCCCTTTAGAGAGAAAAATGAATAATCCATGAATATAGAAATAAAGAAAGAAAAGAAACTTTGAAATATACACGCCCCTCCTCCAATTTTGTTAAGAGGGTTTCTTACCGACGACATAACTCCACTGCTTGATGGAGCCCTGAGTCTCCCAGTCGCCTGCATGAACATCAATGGCAGAAACCTTTTGCGGGCAGACGTTAGGAATATTATGTGCCTTGCTTCTGAATACGTGGAAGAACTCGTGAGCGGAAGATTCAATCTCCACTTCATGCTCCGACTTACGTAATTGACTCATTTTATACCAAGAACAATTAGAAAAGCCAGCGATTATCAGTAGCCAGGGATTTCAAGGGAGACAATAACCAGAGTATAACTAAAATTCCACCATGCCTACCCTTTATATAGAAGCCTTCTCAGCTGTATCATCATACAAATAAATTCTAATTTATTTTTGGCATACAACCCACGCTATTTTGGATAAATTAATGAAAAACTTATTAACTAATCATATATTTTCTTTGTTTAAGCCATTTTTTGGTTTTTTTATTAAAGAATTTTACCATTACCGTCCAAAAAGAAGAATGTAGAACCCTCAAATAATTGCTTAGCTCCATTGACTTTAGTCTGGGGGCTCAATAATTTTGGTGACTTAATGATAATCATCAACCTGTGACCTTTTATTTTTCTAGTAAAATAAATATAAATTCTTATTTAAATTTTTTCAGCTTTTTAGGATGTAAAATTGCTAATTAGTTTTTTATACTCAATATCTTATAATATTATTGTCTCGATTAACGATGTTAAGCTGGAGATTTGGAGTATTATTCAGTGTAGAAAAAGAGTTAAATTGATAAGAGTAAAACTGTAACACTTAATTTTATAGAAAAAAAATATTAACATGGGAAAAAGAAGAGATTAAGAAGAATTTAATGAAGTAGCTAAAATATTTTGTGGGAGTTTGGAGAAATAATTAAGGAGAAAATATAACTTTTAAATTAAGTGAATATTAAAATTTAAAAAATAATTATTTTGGAAACAGGAAATTCTAATATTGAATTAAATATGAGAAAATTTAGAAGTTATGAGAAAGTAATATAGCTTTTAATTGACTAATCAATATTGGTAACACATAAAGGATTCTTGATTATTACGAATTTTTTTAAATTTTTTTTGTAATTATTTAAATCATTTCTTATAGCAATAAAAATATTATAAGACTTAAAATTTTGGGTCTAAAGTAAAGGTTATTTTACTTTATATTAAAGCTGGCCCTTGATTTGGGATTCCTATTTTATGCATTAAATATTCATTAATGTGTTTATAAATTAAGACAAATAACACTTTACCCTTTAAAAAATTTAAATTTTAACACTATATCCCAAAAAACACATAAAAGAGATATTCTCTTCATAAATATTAAATTTATAGCACTTACTCCTAATCAATATTTAAGTAAAATATTTATTAAAAATTTAATTTTTAAAAAATATAAATATCATTTTAGATATAAATATTGTTTGATTTTCTCTCATTTCAACATTTATAATCTTTATTTATACTTAAAAATATATTTATGCCCTTTAAAAGTAAAATTTTTTATGAATATTTTAAAGAGTTATGAAATTTATATTAAATTTTAAAAAACATAATTTCTACAATAAAAGAGTTGTAAAATTTATATTAAATTTTAAAATTATGATTTTAATAATAAGAATAAAATCTCATACTGCAAAATAAATTATTAATTCTTCTACAACTTTGATTTATTTAAATTTTGTTATTTTAAAATATTCAGCAAAAATTTTACTTTTAAAGTATATAAATATCTTTTTAAATATAAGTAATGACTGTAAATGTTGAAATAGAAGAAAATCAATCAATATTTATACTTGAAATGATATTTATATTATTTAAAAATAAATTTTTTAATAAATATTTCACTTAAATATTAATTAAGGGATGAATATTATAAATTTAATATTTATAAGATATAAAGTCTCTTTTATGTATTTTTAAAAGGTATAGTGTTAAAATTTAAATTTTGGGTGCTATTTACCCTATAAATTAATCCTCTACTCGTGTCAAGACAAAGTCTATAATTGTTAATTCAACGTCATGCACTAATATTATATGGAAGCATTTGAAAAATGCAACTTGATCAATGATTGTAATAATTTGTCTGGTGGCATAGGATTTTTAACTTTTGTATTCGGGTACTTTTTAATAAAAAAAGAAAAATGATTAAGATATTAAAATGGCATCTTAGTTAAAAGTTTAGAAATTATAATTTTTTAAAATTTTTTTTACATTGAAAAATTGAAGTCATAAATTTTTTTGAAAGAATTAGATGGCAAAATAAAACTTTATTTTTCATACATGTTTGTATTGAATACCAAAAGCTAATATAATGGGAAAAAAAAAGTCCTTTATTTAATGAATTTCCTGACATGTGTTCATATTTTTTTATCAAAATAAACAACTTAATTTTGTACTATAAGAATTTATTTTATTTCTATAAGTTACATTACAGCTGAATAGAAATTTTTACTAATCAATTTGAGTAAAAAATGAAATTTTTTATAATAAAAATAGAATTAAATACTATTTAAATAAATTTAAAATAAAAATATAGTTTAATTTTTTAAAAAGGCAACAAAAACTTTAAAAGTTAAAATTATCCAAGCTAGATGTAAATTTTCAATGTCACGTCCGTGATTGTACCCCTTGCCGCAAATTGTCATCAACTTGATTGACTAAAGATTTTGCAAATCTGAGGTGGGATTTCTTTTCATTTTAAAATGCCCATTAATTAATTAGTCTATCAATACTTTTCACCCACTTTTGTTGGTTTTCCTAAAAAATAAAAATAAATTAAGCTTTCGATTACCAAATCCACAGGACATGATTAGAAAAATTTTGTCAATTTAGGTTTGTTTTATAATTAAAAAACAACCAACTATAATTAGTGGTAATTAAGTATGGATTACATGAAAGAACAGTGTCGCTTTAAAATTCTTTTCCTATCTTATTTAACCTCTAAATAATATAATATACTAATTAGCTTTCTAAACACTAATACTATTAACCTCTCAATATATTTATCTCATGTATTCTCAAATTTTAAATGTTAATTTTTTTTACAATATTACTATTATAACAGTTAATTATTAAAATTTTAAAAATTTAGATCAATATATTATAATTGATAATAAATATTATTCAAAATATTTAATTTTAAATATTAAAATAAAACATAGTCAAATTTTGTAAAATTAATTTAGAATGTTAGCACAACCTAGTTAAATAATCAATAAACAATTTGAATCTAGTAGAAATTATTTAAGTATCGTACTTTGAAATATAAAATATTTATATTTTTTATTTGCTATATAATAGCGTAAAAAACTAATATTTTGTGACATATAGATAATAATAAATGTTACAACTAGGATATAATTTTTTATAACCGAGTTGACTAAGTTTCTCAATAAAAATTTTTTGCAACCATGACAAAAAAAATATAAATTACCAACATCAAAAAAATGTCAAAATTTTTTAATAATTGATTATTAAATATTCAAAATCTCATTAAGTCTTTTTTTTGTTTTTTAATTTAATTTAATGGGTTTAATGGTAAATTAACAGTATTAATGTACAAGGGAAATAAATGGTATATTATATAGTTCAAGAGGGTAAATAGGTCAAAGAACAAAGATCAAAGGTGTATAATGATTTTTACCTTATTTTAAATAATAAAGTTTAGTTGTAGCATTCACAATAATAATTGAGGAAAATATTGTAACCTAAGGAAACAAACAATAATTACATGTTGCATAAAAAAAAAGAAAAGAATTATATGTTTCCATAAAATACTTTTGGTTTTCAGCCAAAAGGACATTGTAGAATGAGTTTGTTAACAAGTTTGGACAAAATAAAGAATATTTGCTGCGATAAGCCTTTATATATGTGTGTGTGTGTGTATATATATATATATATATTATTTTATTTTTTTACAGAAATAAGCCTTTAGAATATTATTGTCGCTTTTGTGTAATTCGAGTTTTAATTATCTTCCGTGGGTGGGATTTGTCTTCTCTAACGAGGAGTCCTTTGTGTCTCCCTTTTCTGAATTTGTAATTAATTCCGGGTTGTTCATTTAACCAAGTTTCCTTTGCTTTCGAATGAAATATATGTTAGGTAGTCTGTGAAGGGTTAAGTTGAGAATTTGTTAAAAGTTTGGATAATTATAAATCTGGAAGTAACTGTATAAAGTAATTTAGAAGTTACCCAGTTAATTTTTCACAGGGAAACTTCTAAGTCCGAGAAGTGCTTTTACACCCACAAAACACCTTTAAATTCTTGCCAAGCATTTTTATCGTGTTGCATCTGTCATCTTAAAAGCTTCTACATATTTGTAAAATTACAAATTAAGTTAGAAAAAGGAAAGAAAACCAAAAGATAACAATAAATTATAAAATTATAAAAGATTACACATATGCTAGTAACCTAATGATGAGGGGTTTGGTGAAGCCACGATACATTTTTAAATTTACCGAAACCTCTTGGGACTAACATGTTTCAATTGTATTTATGGGGCAAAAATCGAGTTGGAGTAGAATGACTGGATAAAATGTAATTTATCCAAATAACGTTAGATGAACACTTGTTGACAGATATGCTTAATCTATGATGTAAATAAAAAATTAAAACTTACAAGGGCAGCTATGTAATCCCCATAAATATTGTCAATTATTTTACTTAATACGTGTCAAACCATTTGTAATACTCCAAAATTTTGGGGTGTTATTAAAAGTTAAGAAACTTAAAAGGACCCAAATGAAAGAAACAAGGAGTTAAGGGTCGAATTAAAACAACAAGGAACTAATTGAATTAATAAAAGCCTTAAGGGGCCGAATAGAATAGTTATAGACATTTAGGGACTAGACTTCAAACTCTAGAAAATTAGATTCTGGAACCCGATCTCCTTCCTTCTACGAAATTGATCACACAATCTAGATTGATTACAGCGATTAGATTGCTTGATTGGTCCATCAATTTTGTATATGTACTAAAGGAGCCAGTTGAATCAAACCCTTTAGGCAATTTGAGCAAATTCCATCCCCAATCAAAAATTTTCAAGCAAGACTTTTCTCTAGCAAACACAGAAAATACAACCTGCAAACTATCAATTTCTCCTCTCATCGATTGAATCGACACACAAAGCCAGTCATGAAGTGGTCATCGGCCAGGAGTGAGTCAGTCCATAGAAGAATTCACCAAGTAATTCTGCAAACA